ATATATACCAATTATTTTCCTTATATTTCACATTAACATTAATTCAAACTATATATATGAATACAAACTTAGAAAAATATTTGAATAAAAAGAAAAAGATACGTTATATATCTCATGTTATTTCATTAATAAAACTTTAATTTACAAATTCCTCAAAATATTTTTATTTTATAATAAATTTTATTAAAATGTACAATATTTATGCATAGAAAATGTAAAAAGACTAAATTTAAATTAATATGAAATTTTTTTATATTATTAATGAATTTGTTATGAAGTTGTTTATGAAATCATTTAATTAATATTTTTGAATAAAAATAACTGGTTTATATCACAATTTGTTTCTTTTAATCAAAGAAGTATTAACAATATAAAGAGTAAAAAGTTTATTATTACCCTTAATTATGTAACATTTTATTTTAATATATTAAAAGGTCCCTGATTAAAAAATTAATTTTTATAGCAACTGTATAATAAATAATTTTTTTTATATATTATTTAAATAAAACGAAAATTTAATATCAAAAAAATTTGTTTATAAAAAAAATGTTAGCAATTTAATTATTATAATATTTTATTATTTTATAGTCTAACACTATTAAAAAATGTAATTGTACAAATCAATGAAACAAAAATAATTGAAAAAAATTTAACATTTGTTAAATAATGTTTATAAAACTTGTATTGCATTAAAATATTTAAGTAAAAAAAGATACAAATTATTGTGAATAATAGAAATGATATGCTTATAAAAAATTTGAAATTAATACTTATGTGAAGTAGGTTTGCACCACGTACCTTGATTGAAAAAGTATAGATATAAGTAATATAATTACTTATATCTAAAATTTAGGATAGAATGGCAATACTACGTCTAGGTCCGCCTAAGCATATATTATCTAAACTTGACCATCTTTTAATACCAGTACGTAAAGCTTCAGCAGTAACTTTATCTTCATAAACTCTGGACATAGCTTCCAATTTTTGAGCTTTCTCTTTACTAAGTGGTTCACTAGGGAATGTTAATTCATTTGCTTCTGCAAGTGTGCGAAGATCAAAATAATATTTAGCATATACACTTGAAGGAACGTTTATATTGAATTGTAGCATTTCCAAAAACTGTCTTTCTAATTCATTCCTAAATTAATGTTAAATATTTATTAAGGGATATTTTAGATATATTTAATATTAATATTAATATTTAATCATATTAAATGTAAATATGAACTTACATATCTTCTACTGTAATATCTTTAAGAATTTGGCAATAATCTACATTCCATACAGCTTGATCATCCCACACTTTTGATGCTAATAAAATTGCTCCAAGTACTATCCGTTTCCAATTGGCTGGTGTTATATCTATTTCTGCATAAGTAAGCAGGCGTTCTAAATAAACTAATGTTATAATGGCACATTCAGCAGTAAGTTGAGCAGCATTAAACAATGTCCTGACAAATTTATAAATTTGTTTATGTTCTGGATTCTGTTTATCATAATCCTCTGTAACACCTTCTCTCTATGCATAAAAAAAAATATTATAAATATATAACTTTTGAAAAATAAAAGTCTTTTTTATCCAAAAAAAAATTAAGCAAATATTAATTTTACAATTTTAAAATTTTACAATTTTATTTAGTTTATTATATTTTAGTTTATTATTATTATATATTATTAATATTATTATTATTATTATAGTTTATTATATTTTATTTAGTTTTATATTATATACAAATTTATTATAATTCTATATTATATATAAATATTGTTATTTTTTTATATATACTTTTTTACAAAAGAAATATTATACTTTTCTATAACTTCTAATTTTTCATGTATATTGGTCAAATATTGGTTTATTAAATTGTATTATGGTTTATATATTATATTATATGATTTATATAATTAAATTACCGTTAAAGGATGAAGTTTCTCATCAAATATATCTATTTGACGCTGTGAGGTTCTATTTTTAATATGATAATAAACTGCTAAGGCAACACATTTCACAGTATTCTTGAGATTTGGTTGTGAAACAGTACTATCATCTAAATATATTGTACTGCAGCTGCTACTTTTTTTTAAAGGCCTTATATCTGCAATTTGATGTTGACTTTTTTTTCTTACCATACCATCTAAAACACATTTATTTATTATTTTATTTAAAAAAAAGTTTAATAAAAGATAATAATATATTATAAGTTTTAAATATATTAAATTATAGTATAAATAATATATATATATTATTATTATATATA